GAGTGAGGCTGGAGATGCCCCGAGGGCTGCGCGGGTGCTCCCGGCGCGAACGAGCCACTAGAGTCCCCGGTCAGTCCCAGCCCCCAGTCCGCCCAGTGACAGTGCGGGCGTCCCGCGCCGCTGGGCCTTTTCTCCACAGATGTGGCCAATGACGTGAGGGGGCGGGCCGGGAACGCGAGCTGAGGACCACGCCCAGCCCGTGGTCGCCGGCCCAGGACTCTGTTCAACCCCGCCTGTCTTTCTCCTCCCTCAGGCCAGCACTCAGACCTACTCTGGCCCCCGGAAAAACTGGCCGGAGCCAGGCTCCGGCGCCGCGTCCTCCGGACCCGGGAAGAACACTGCGGCAAAACTTTCTGCGGGTGCGCAGTGCACCGCACAAAGAGGCATTTGCCCGTGGTACTACATACTAGCATACGTTCATAGTCTTGTCTTTTAAAATAGCATCTTAATTGTATGAACCCATGAACCAATGATACTTCAGCAGTAGATGATCTAGTTTCCCTCCAAGGAATTGAACAGGGGTCTTCTTCAAATAAATTTTCTGAAAGAAGATACTGAGGACAATAAATAATACATTTTCTCTTCAAGGGCTCTTCTTGTTTGTATTATAAATGTATGGGGCCGGGGATTTAGCTCAGTGGGTTCCTGCGCCTGCCCCGTAAGCGCAAGATCCTAAATTCAATCCCAGATACAAAAAAAAAAAAAAAAAAAAAAGAAGAAGAATGTCCAAGGTAAATTCTTACTTTTAAAAATAAGATTGTAGAACGATGTTCTGTCTCTTCATATTACATCTTGAAGAAAAAAAGATTTTGGTAGTGGGAATCGAACCCAGAACTTTGCCCTTCGGAAGCAAGTGGCAGAAACACTGAGCTAAATCCCTGACCCTATCTTGAAGAATTTAAAATTTTTACTCATGATATATCTAAGTACACGTATAATAAATAAAGGAGGGAGAATAGCTAGCTAGAACAGAAACTCCTGGAGATGGGGAAGGAGAAAAGAGAAAGAGAAGAGGAAAAGACAGAGGGGAGTAAAGAAATTCAGTATTATAAACATGCACTGATAAAAAAGAAAGAAAATGTATGGAAAATATGTAGGATAAATATAGCAAAACAATTTCTCTTATGTGTTTGGTAAAAAAGGCAAGACTGCGTTGCTTTAAAAAATGTAGAAACGAATGAGGCCCTGGGTTCTATCCCAAGCACCACAATAAATAAATTAAAACAAAAAGTAACCTGGACACAATGGCACATTCCAACACTTTGGAAGGCTGAGGTAGGATTGCTAGTTAGAACCCAGCCTGGCCAATTTAGTGACTTAACAAACCCCATCTTGAAATAAAGTTTGAAAAAGTAATGGGAATGTAGTCAGTGCAAAGGCCCTGGGTTCAATCAAGGAAGTGGGAGCAAAAATAGTAGCATTGTTTGTCTGCACACTCGTTTATTAGCAAAAAGAAAGCATCATCCATTTGAGCACTAAAATAACTGTATCTCTCAAGAGTCAGTAGAGGTGATTATCCTGACAGATAATTAGGACACTTTTCTACATTTCTTTAGACTAGAAATAAAATCTGATTCTTTTTGTTTTTTTTTTTTTTTGTATTGGTGATCGAACTCAGATCTTGTGCTTATGAAGCAGGTGCAGTGCCACTGAGCTAAATCCCTGGCCCAAAATGACTTTCAAACTTGTGTTAAGACATTAAAATTTTTTTCTGTGGAATTTAACAACAAGCATTTCTACGACACATAGAATGCCATTCAGATTTCTTAGCACCCTCCAACCTTAAGGGGCTACTTTATCCTCCAACCAATCCTATGAGTTAGACAATATTATAGCTTACAGTATTATAGGTGAACAAACTGAGGCACAGGTTAACCAGCTGTCCAGAGCTCAAAGCATTGGGAGGGTGAAATTTACTCCCAGTTGTCTGCCTTGAGATCAGGAGCTCTTAATCACTAAACCTGGCTATTACACTTGTGTATTTGTATTATTTTCAAAACCATCACATCCATTCATACAGATGGGGAAAAAATCAACACATCAGTCTCCAGAACAGATTTGAACAGATTTCCATTGCTTGTTCCTAACCGGTAATGAAAAAGTAGCACCACCAGGGTCTGAGAAGTAAAATGCTGCAGATTTTTCTGTGCTTACTTCAGGGACAAAGTCATTTATCAACTGTGGCTTACTAGTGGTATCCATTGAAAACATAGAGCTTTTGCTAACACCTGGCCTTTGGTTTCTGTGACATTGCTTTTTCTCTATAAAACCCATATGTAACTCTTTTAAGTCAACCTGTCTTTAGTTCTTCAATAATCTGTACAGTGTTGCCAGTTGTCTCTTCCCTTTATTAGCCAGTCTTCTTACAGGGTCACAGTAAGATAGTGGTTCCAGTTGCTGGGTCTTTTACATTCAGGCAAGAAAATTTTAAACCTGCTTAAAGATATCAGTAGAGGAGTGTGTTTTTTAATTGGTGGTTTCAAAGCAATTAAATTTCATTTTAACTAGTGATATGCTGTCAAGCTTTATTATTTTCTGGAAAAAAACTGGTTTGAAAACAAAGTGCAGCACACTGAAAATGGTTATAAAAGTAGAGACAGCATTATTGCAAATTGATCTAGCACCTTCCTCCTTGCTGGTTTTTGTGTGTTTGCTTTTCTAGATTTTTTTTTCTCTAATACTAGGGATTGAACCTAGGATCTTTGTTCTGAGCTACATTCCCAGTTCTTTTTATTTATTTATTTATTTGTTTGTTTGTTTGTTTGTTTGTTTGTTTGTTTATTGAGACTGGGTCTTACTAAATTGCTCAGGCTCGGCTCATCTCAAACTTTTGATCCTAAAGTCTCAGCCTCTCAAAATTTGCTAACTTTTCTAGATAATAATAAATATCTTTTTAAAGATCTTGATGTAGAATTTTTGATAGTACAAAATATTTTATGAACCAAGAGGATTATTTAGAATTAAGATTGAAAACCAAACAAAAACAATGCTTGGTCCAGAATCCATTTTCTCTGTCTAAAGTAGTCCATTTGTCTAAATTCTTCAAAGATAAAATAAAATACAAGAAATATAATCCAGGTGTGGGTACAGAAAATGCATTGCACATTTTTACTCTCATTCTTCCTTCCATGCCTCCATGCCCATTTCTGATCTAGGAAGAGGTGCACTGTGGAGCTCCAACTGAGGGAGCAGAAAACCTAGGGCTTCCCAACTTACTTTTAAATTTTTATTTACTTTTTTTTTTCTGCACTGGCTCCTGGGGGCTAGCTAATGATCTTGTTAGATACAAGGTTACTGATAAATCAGATGAAAGCAAACATCCTAGGATGAAGTTGGAGCTTCAGATTTTGGCACTTACCCCCTTACTTTTTAAAACACTCTCTCTAGGAGTCAAAATGTAGCAGTTCACGTAACAAATTAACCACAAAAGAATTGTGGTGTCTTTCCGAGACCAGTCCCCTTTTACATACCGTTACCTAAGTCTCTTCTTCTGAGCATTCATTCTCTCGACATATAAGGGTTGGGGGGGAGGGTTGCAGGCGGCGGCGGCGGCACAGACGTGGTGAAGTGTGTACTCTTATTTCTGTCTTCTTACTAAACTCGGTGTTGGAGCTCCTGACGTTATCAGAGCCAGCCACAAATGCCACATGTAAAGAAGCAAACATCCGGAGTGGCTTCCTGCAAGCATTGCTTTTCTCAACATAAGAGATTTACGGGGCGCGGGTGCGGGTGTGTGTGTGTGTGTGTGTGTGCGCGCGCGCGCGCGCGCGAGTGTGCGTTGTGTGTTCGGTAGCCGGAGCCTAGTACACTCGCTTTCTAGCCGGCGGTGTGCATCGAAACTCACAGTGCGGGAGTTCTAGGCTCCTGCCTTACTGATTGCACTCACACTCCCAGCTCCCAAGACTCGAAAGCCTGGGCGAGGAAGCGAAGCGACTAAAGTAGCCAGAAGCTCTGCCCGTTTCCATTTGGGCCCTTTGCCCAGCGGGTGCAGAAATGAACCCCGGTAGGTGATAACTGTGGCTCAGACCTGGAGTCAGTGCCATGTTTTTCTGCGGACCTCTGACCAGGCTGGGTGATTTCTGGCCGATATTCGTGTTTTCGATGCTTGGAAAATGGGAGCCGAACAAGGGGCTCTCAGGTGGATAAGAAGGCTCCATGGGCACCGAGCAGATCCGGGTTGGCATGCACAGCAAGTTCGATGGGACGGAGAGGGAGACTGGGCCTCACAGCCGGGGAAAACTCAGGGGCTGCCCCGGAGAGGTAGACAGTGGTATCCCTAGAGCCAAGGACACCAGTGTGGCCCGTGCCGTCACGAGTCGCGCCGCGGCTCCGGACTGGGACGCGGGTGGTATGCGGCGCCCCCCAGGTAGCGCCCCACAGCCCAAAGCGCCGACCTGGCGCCGTCGGTACTGGTACCTCCGGCGTCTCCTCCCTGTCCTGAGCCAGTTCCCCTCCGGGCCTGGGTCGAGGTCGAAGGTTGTGGGTGGGAGGACAGAGGTGGAAAAGGAGTGGCCCGGAAGACAGTGCTAGGTCACCTGGCCGCTAGGCCGGCGCCTTGCTCTCCCGGCCCCAAGTCCCGCGCGGGACGCTGCATCCCCTACCCGGGCGCCTCCCAAGGGGCCGAACGGGCGACCGCGAGAGCGGCTTTGGGGGCTGTGGTTCTCCAAGAAGCGTCCTTTCTACTTTCACGCCCTCGCACACTCCCTCCACCCGCTCCCTCCCCAGTCCAGCCCAGGTGGAAAGCGACTACTCAGCGACGCTTGGGTTCCCGCTCGGCCCCGCCTGGCGCTTGCACAGGCGAAGCAGGAAATGCGCTGTTCCCGGCCCACTTCCTCTGCTCAGAAACTGATCCGCGGGGGTTTCTTAGGTCCCACACCACAACTGTGGTCCCTGGGTGAGATGTCCTTTCTTTTATTGCCTGGTGTTTGGAATCTCTTGCCGTAGTAGGCAAGTGACTCTAGGGGTGAAGAAGAGAGCCCAGCTCCTAGCCCAGGTCAAGTTATTCACAAGCGACCTTTTTCGTTCCTTCCGTGTCTGCCTCCCACTAAAAAGGAATTGCAAGGGCGACGTGGTGTCTCTGCAGGCTGTTGCTGCTGTTGCAGATCTACGAGCTCTTTCGCTCCACCCTGTGGGGGGGCCAGGGCTTCCTTTGTGAGTTGTATCCCCAACTGACCAGACAGCCTTATCAGCAGCAGGTCTACTGTGAGCAGAACTCTTCCACTCCCAGCCAAAGGAGAGCTGACACGGCCCCTGCCCCCAAGGAATGCACAGTATCATTAGTCTTCTTCCTTGATTTATTAACGTTGCTGGGTGCTCTGCTCCTGTAAGACTTTGTTCCTGGCGTTGTGAAGGTGATGCTGACTTTAGTAAGTCAAGCACTTGGAGATTTTCTTTTTTTTCTAGGAGAGGTAATTGATTGCCTTTCCACCCTGACAACTCTGCCAAGTTTCCCTAGGAAGCAGGATTGTGCCAGATCGTTGGTTAGAGCAAGGTGTGTGTTCTGTGATCATGGTAGTGATCAAAGTTAAGTAGGTCATAGGGCGGGCCACTCTTGCCTCACTCCTTACCTGCTCTTCTGTGTAAACTTAGCCACAAATATATCAGGTTTTTGAGTTAGGACCAGAGTTAGCCCTCCAAATTTCTAAATAGGAGGGAAAATAATAAGGATTCATGCTGGAAGGGATTGCAGTCAGTTTTTAGTTGATGAGTTACCTAAAGTTTCTACTCAGTCCATTTGTTTCTTTGGTGCATTAGAGTAGCAACACGAAGTCTTTGGTTCATTTCATCTTTATATCCCCAGGGCACACACAATTCATCCATCTTTAATAAATATTTACAGATGCTATACTGACTGTCCATTTGGAGTAAGTCTTAGGACTCTTTTTCATGGCCGGCCACTGAAAATGACCTGGTAGAAACATTACCCTCTCCTTCACCAGGAGTTCAGTTTCTAGATATTAGGCATCTGACATCTTCTGAGGACTAACTCAAATTGTGCTGCTTTTTTAAATTCATTTGATTTGGAAATCCAGGCCAAGAATATACTTGGACAACTGTACCTTTGGGTAGGATGCAAAAACATCTGTCTGCCTTGTGGGGATTTTTCAAAAACTAAATTTTGGGCTGGGGATTTAGCTCAGTGGTGCCACTGCCTGCCTCACAAGCACAAAGACATGAGTTTGGTCTCTGGCACACACACAAAAAACCCTAAATTTTAACATTAGTTTTTTTATATTCAGAGAATACAGTTTACAAAGCAGTTTTCCTAATGCATCTGACCCTTTCCAGTCTTTGAGGCTGGTAGGGCAGCCCATGCTTAGCCCTGTCTTAAAAATACATTTTTATCAAGTCTATTAATTTTTTTATAAAACATTGAGTTTCAAACTGGTATTTTCATATAAACATATGAAATATTTTGATTGTATCCATTTCCCAGTTACCTTCTCTTACACCTCTCATTACCTTGTCCTTGTTCCCATTCTTGTCTAATAGTCTCCTCTCCTTTGTCCTTCTATGCCATCTTCTTTCTTTACTTTTTTTTTTTAGATTCTACATGTTAGGGAAAACATGAATGCTTACATTTCTGAATCTGGCTATTTCATGCAATGTGATAATGTGCAGTTCCTTCATTTTCCTACAAATGAAATTATTTTGTTCTTCTTTATGGCTGCATAATACTCCATTTAGATACAACCACATTTTCTTTATCCATTCATCTGTTAACATAGCCCCATTTTTTTAGAATAACACTAAGAGAATATCCGTGACTCAAGGTCACATGACACAGGTGCTTGGACCATCTGCCTGCCCTTGCAACCATATGGGGTCTTGTTTTGAAATTCTTTCTATACCTTGTATATAGCTAATGAGGTGCCTGATAAAATTTGTAGCAACTAAAGACAGTAAATGTGTGGGGATAAATTAAAGATCCCTGACAAAGAAACTTGCATGTTGTCCCTGACTGGGTTGTGATAATTTTTTTAGTACCAAATATTCAGCACTGAAAAGAATATAGCATTTTCATTTAGAATATCTATAATTAGATCTTAAAGATTACGTGTAAGCCTTATGACATGTCATTTATTTTGATTATTCCTTCAAATAAACATTCTAATTCAGCTAAAAACTAGGAAGAGTTCAAGGAGTTCAAAATATAAGAAGATTAAATCTTCAAAATGTTTGTCCTTATGTCACACTCTTTTGGACTGTAGGAGACTGAATTATCCTAAATTTTTATGGTATTGTTTATTGCCTCCTTAAGCTATTGCTTCCTTCAATATCTATTTATGGACCCAGTCTTAAAGACATAAAAATGTCTGGTGTCTGGGTAAAGTAAATTCTCTCCACTTCTGCAGTTATGGAGAGAAATGGATGGTAAATGCTATGATTCTGCTTTACAAAGTGGAAAATTAAGGCTCAAAACAGGTTGGTAACTGGCCTAATGCTTCCATGTTATCCTAACTGATATTCACTTAATCAACAATTAATTATCTAGCACCTGTGAGTGCAAGGCTTAGCACAGCATGGTACATTGGTAATGATAATTAACATGGCAAATTGAGCTGTTTGGGTGGAATTCTAGTTCTACAATATACCAGTTGTGTATTTTTGGATATGTTACTGAACCTCGGTATATCTCATCTTTAAACTGGAGGATAATAGTAGGGGTTTGTTGTATTTCTGTTTAAAAATTTTTGTATTTTCATTAGTACATGTCTGTAGTGTGTAATTTATATATTCATCCTGGGGAGTTGATAACACATCTTGATTCTTTTTTTAACTTTTACTAATTTTATTGGTACATTTAAGGTATACAATATAATGGCATTCATTATTGCAAATTTGTACCTTTACATAATCAATCTTGGTTCTATTATTTCCCATTCTCCTGCCCTCCCTTCAACCCCTCCCTCCCTTCCAATCTATAAAGACTTTGTTTCCGTTATTTTTTCATTTTCTCATATTGATTACATTCCCTTTTTCCATTTTCACTACCCCTCCCACTTCCCTTTCAACTTCATCCCTTTTCTTCCTATTTCATATTATCTATTATACCTTTTCATCCTTATTTACACTTTTAGTTTCTCCCACTAGAGAAACTATTCAGTATGTACACGTGTCCTATTTATAGCACGTAAAAGGGTGTGCCTGTCCATGTGCACCCATTTAGCTTAAATGTCTCTAATTTATCTATTTTTATGGCTGACTACTATTCTATTTTATTTAAAAAACATATTTTATTTACCCCAATTGATTGTTTTTACTTCTGTCCTTCTCATCCCTCCCCACTCCCTCCATCTTGATCCCCTTCCTATTTGCAAAAGATCTATCTCCCTGTTTCCTATTAATTATTTTTTTGCTCTTTAAATTATTTATATTTTTCCATTTCTCATGTACAAGAAAGCATGTAATAGTTTGTGTATCTGTGACCTCAGTTTTATGAGGATGAAATGAGTTAATTGTCATAAGCTGCTTAAAATAGATATATAGTAAGTGCTACCTGGGTATTTAGTAAAAAAACCAAAATTTAAATTAATGCATTAACTATTTTAATTAATTTCATAGAATTGACAGTAAATGTATGATAAGGAAATAAATAATTATAATGTGTTAACATTTACAATAATAATAACACAGTAATACTTTAAATTGTCTGTTATATCCATGAAGCTTTTAGAGAGGTTTCTATAAATTATTGTGCATTTTTTTATTACATTTGAATGTGAACATTTTTACTCTGATGGTAAAAAAAAAAAACGCTTTTTGTCCATTAATCTTCTAAAACCCTGAAAAGGCAAGGAAAAATATGTGGAATTATGAAACATTAAACATTTTATTTGAAAATTTTGAAATGCAAAGAGATAACTTGCAAATCATTACTTACCTGGGTAGGCTTAGATTCCTTTTTTAAAGATGTAGAAGCAAAGTTTAATTTTGATAACCATGCTTGATGCACATGTATTTCAAAGGAAGAATAATCCACAAATGTCCTACTCTACCCTA